GTTGTAGAATCAACTGTTGAATACTGCCTCTTGAATACGTCAGGTTCTAACAATGTGATACCAACTCTCCTAGTCGGATGAACGAACGAGACTCAGAATTATTTCTCGCACAGCACGGTAACTGACAAATCTCGAAGTCTGTGGGTTCTCGGAACTTAGCCGCGAAAGATTAATTCACGCGAGTCGAACGGGTTCCTAGACCGAACGCAAAGTTTCTACGCACGATTTCCCAACCCAAGACTGAATCAAGAACAAGACAGGCCTTTTTGCCACAGGCGCTTTTACTGGCCAAAGCTAAGGCGATTCTAGCGTTGTACAGCCTCATTTTTATATCACGAAACGGTGATGAAGGGGGGTTTTCCCTTGGAAAAGGTTTGCGTAAGCAAACCCTGGAAGCAAGAAACATGGTTTTATGTAAATATGCAAAGTCCGTAAACTGAGCAGGAATGTTGGAAGTTTGGCGAGAGTTGTCCGGAAAATAAATGTTGCTTGGATACAACAATGAGTGTTTGGTTGGAAACGAGACTGTTTCTGGGTGCAAAGGCTAAACGAATGTGAATGTTTCACGAGTTGGAAGGCTGATTGAACGTGTGCGTTTTGTCTGATCCGAGTACATGTGCACTTGTGTGAATCGGGTTTTCAGCCTTCCGTAATTTAAGCCTGTAATAATTGTAGGGACGTTGGGTCCCCATAACATCCCCCCTTTAAGTTTGAACATACCGTTTGAGTTTCGGGTCGATCTGTATTCTTTCGGTTGTTCGACGGATGCGTTGTGATCTGCGAGGAGGAATCGGCGGTGCGAGTTCCACAGTTTCCGTCTGTTGCCCTGGAATTCCGAAAGTATCCAATAGTATGTGCAGGGGTGTTTTTGCGGTCGACTGAGATGGTTTTTTGAGTGTTCCATGTCGCGGTCGAAGTTGGTTTTGATGGCGAACCCAGGTGTCATCTCTTAAAACGATATCATATAGCATACTACCACGATGGCCAGTTACTGTAGCTTCTATCCAGTGTGGGTGACCAGCCCGGTAGTCACGGGCAAAGACCGGAGCTCCAACAGCGAAGCCCTTGCACTTGGTTTTGATTTTGGATTTCACCGGTGGCACTCTTGTTGGGATTAGTGTCTCCTGTGTTGTGCACAGTTTCCGACACATCAATGCTTCAGCGGGCGATTTCTCTCCTGGAACTGCTGGATTAGGTGTGGTCCTGTAGACGAACAGGAAAGCCTGAATAATGGTTTCTGTAGTTCCCTCCCCTCGAGCCTTTAAGAGCGCTCACTTGAAAGTGTCGATAAAACGTTCCGCTTGACCGTTAGACTGTGGATGATAGGGTGGTGATCGGAGGTGCTGCATGCAGTGAGAGCGACAGTGGGATAACGTGAACTGCGTTCCGTTGTCGGACACTAGAACATCAGGGAATCCATGTTGACTGAATATGCGTTGGAGACAAGTTATTGTTGCGGTGGTAGTCGGAGAATTAATTGTTACGACTTCAGGCCATTTAGAGTACGCATCAACCAGGACCATGTATGAGGTACCGTCAATTGGACCAGCATAATCGATATGTATTCGAGACCACGGTTTTTCTGTTGGTTGCCAGGGAACTGGTGGTTGGTGCTGTGGCATCTTGGCTGCTTGTTGACACCTGGAGCAACGGCGAACCAAATCTTCAATGTCGCTGTCTATCCCAGGCCAATAGACGAAACTGCGAGCGATTGCCTTCATTCTGCTGATACCAGGGTGTGCAGAATGGAACTGACGGAGCACGGCTTGTCGAAGGTGGACAGGAACGATGACTCGATCAGCGGTCATAAGGCAGGAGTCAACGACAGAGAGGGAGTCCCGACGCTGGAATAGGTGCTTGAATTCTCCTGAGAAGGTATTGTTAGGCCAACGTGTCTGAACGTGAGCGATAGCTTGGCGGAGGACAGGATCGTGTGCAGTTTCACGACATATGTCGGCGGCTGTAAGACGAAGGCTGCGGATAGTGTCTGAAAGCTGATGACGAACATCTTTTTCGACGGCGACAGCGGCGATCACGATATCTTCATTTACTGTATGTTTGGGGATGAGGCGTAAGAGACCGTCAGCTTGACCAAAATCCTGAGTGCGGCAAAAACGGATTTCGTAATCGTAACCGAGAAGGATGACGGCCCATCGTTGTAGTCGACTGGCTGAATACGTTGGAATACTCTTCTTGGAGCCAAAGATGGACAACAACGGCTTGTTGTCGGTCAATAAGGTGAAATGTCGACCATACAGCATTTTGTGGAACTTTTTAACAGCAAAGACGATAGCTAAGGCTTCTTTCCCGATCTGACCGTAGTTCTTCTCTGCGGACGCCAGCGTGCGGGATGCATGCATGACCGCTTTCTCGGAACCATCGAGGAAGCGATGGGAGAGGAATGCTCCGATTCCGTAATTGGAGGCATCGGCGGCGACTAGAATGGGTAAGGCTGGATCGTAATGTGTCAGCAGCAGGTCAGAACCGAGTATAGTTTTCAGGCGCGCGAAGACCTTCTCGCATGCGGGGGACCAGTGCCAAGGAACATCCTTTTGCAACAGTTGATTCAGAGGGGCCCGTACATCGTGTAGTGATGGTAAGAAAGCACTGTAGTAAGTGATGAGACCAAGGAAGGACCGCAGTTGGTGAATATCGTTGGGAGGTGGCATCTGGTGAATGGCTTCGACGTTTCCGAGGTCGGGGTGACGGCCATTAGCATGGAAGACAGAGCCGAGATACTTGATTTACCGTAGGAAGAATTGGCATTTATCGGCCCTCAGGCGGAAACCATATTCCTGGATCCGTTTAAAGACCGAGACTAGACGTTCTCGCAATTCTTCTGGGTTGCGACCAACAATAAGGCGATCATCCAGGTATGCGGCCGTACCTGGAATGCCAGCGATCATTGCATCCATTGTCTGCTGGAATAGGGCTGGTGCGGTCTTGACACCAAACGGCAGTCTGGTGTCCTGAAGGAGACCGCGGTGTGTGTTGGTCGTCAAAAGCGGTTGCGACTCCTGAGCCACCTCGATTTGTACCACATTACCATCCCCTTACTAAATCCCCCCCCCCCCCCCTACCCCTCCCCCCAATCTACATTACCCTCTTACCTAAATTATCATTACCATTTACTCTAACTTATACTTTCCCTTCCCCCCCCAATTTTCCTATCCTCCATACTCCCTCATCCCTCCTTCTCACTCCCCACATACACCCATCCCACCCCCATAACCCCTTCTCCATCAAAAACAAACACATACCCCAACTCCTCTACTTTCCCCCTTCCCCCCTTCCCCCCATCTTTCACCCCCTCAAACCTAACCTTCACAACCCCCCATCTACCTACATACCCCCCAACATTTTCCCCTACACACCTTCCCATCATTCCCCCTTAATCCCCTCCCTCAACCATCCTCTCCCTCCTCTAAACTACCCTTACTTTTCAAGCCACCCCCCCTCCCCCCCACAACCCCCCAATCTACCCAATAATTCTCCCCCTCCCATAACATCCTCCCCCCTAATACCTTATAAACACTTCCACCCCCTTATCCAACCTCCACCATCCCATCATATCCCCACATTCCCAACATCATCTTCCCCTATCCCCCCCCCCCCCCACCCCCCCCCCCCCCCCCCCCCCCCCCCCCCCCCCCCACCACCCCCCCCCCCCACCCCCCACCCCCACCCCCCCCCCCCCCCCCCCCCCCCCACCCCCCCCCCCCCCACCCCCCCCCCCCCCCCCCCCCCCCCCCCCCCCCCCCCCCCCCCCCCCCCCCACCCCCCCCCCCCCCCCCCCCCCCCCCCCCCCCCCCCCCCCCCCCCCCCCCCCCCCCCCCCCCCCCCCCCCCCCCCCCCCCCCCCCCCCCCCCCCCCCCCCCCCCCCCCCCCCCCCCCCCCCCCCCCCCCCCCCCCCCCCCCCCCCCCCCCCCCCCCCCCCCCCCCCCCCCCCCCCCCCCCCCCCCCCCCCCCCCCCCCCCACCCCCCCCCCCCCCCCCCCCCCCCCCCCCCCCCCCCCCCCCCCCCCCCCCCCCCCCCCCCCCCCCCCCCCCCCCCCCCCCCCCCCCCCCCCCCCCCCCCCCCCCCCCCCCCCCCCCCCCCCCCCCCCCCCCCCCCCCCCCCCCCCCCCCCCCCACCCCCCCTTTAGTAGCAGATCCCGTCGAATGTGACACCTCGAAAGTAGACGGAACAATGCAGCTGCCCAGTTAGCTGCACGTGGCCGCCACAGGCGCTGGTGACGACTTGAAGGGTTGGCTGGACTGGTGGACTACCAAGGGATCGCCAGAGTTTTTCGGAGATGATCGTGATGTCCGAAGCAGTGTCCAACTGCAATCGGACGGTCTGGCCATTAATCTGGACGTCGACGAACTTCCTGCGATCCGCATTGACTTGGAATGTGGCCAGCAAGCTCATGGAGCTGCCAACCGGGCCAGTGTTGGGTTTGCGTCTGGACCGTGACCTCTTCTTTTGACTGTGGGTGGGGGCCATCCGAGGTTTGGCCCCCTTGTGTGACGTAGGATAGGAGTATCCATCACGGTGCGCCACCCTGCCACAAAGTTGGCATCGATGCTGTCGGAAGTTGCAATCTCGGTGGAAATGGCCTGCACCACAGAATCGGTATGCATAGGGTGGGGACTTCGCTCGGTTGAGTTGGGAGAGCCGCTTGACAGGTTGCGGCTTGGGGGCTGCGACCACATGGACTAGACCAGGCGCGGAAGCGTTCTGGATCATCGCGGAATCGTGTTTCAAATTGATCGGCAATTGACACTCCTCGGCCAGGTTGTGGAGTGTGATCGTGCTGTCTTGCTGCAGCTTGGATAGGAGGCGCGTTCGGATGTCGGCATCATGGGTGGACTGGAGGCCAGAAATGAAAAGCAAGCACTTGAACTGGTCTTCTGTGAGGGAGCCAAGCTGGAACCGTGCGTGTTCCCGATTGACGATGCCCGCGTATGTGACGAAATCATCGGCGTCTCGTTTGGTCAGCTGCAGACATTGGTACCGGGTGTTGAACAGCGAGGACTGTTCGCCAAAGATCTGCGACAATGTGCGGACCGTTTCACCAAAGGGAACATCGCGGGACTTCTTTGGCAGGATGAAGTTTGTATAACGTTGGTGCTCGACCGTGCCCAGTTTGCGCAGAAGCCGCCGGACCTTCCACGCGTCAGCCTGGGAAGCCAGGTCAGCGGTGAACAGATCCTCGTACCGCTTATACCAGGACTCGAAGGTAATTTGAGCGCCAGGGTCATACAGGAATTCGGAGATGCTGCTGCAGATATTGTCAACCGAAGGAGTGCTGCCCGTGGAACCTGATTGCAGGGAAGAACTGGAGAGTTTTTCCGTTAAGGCATTCATTAAAGCAATCTGCACGTACTTCGGGCAGCAGATGACCGGATCGGTCGGCGACACGGCGAACCTGAAATGAACACCCCATCGCATTCGCACGCTGTGCGATCTCCCCCATCAGCTACGCATACCAGTGTACATATAGACGGCAACACCTAAGTACACCCTATGTTACTGTACCACTTGTTTATTTATCATTCTACCTAGTAACCGTACTGATTGCAGTTGCTTCGCTATTCCTATATCGGTTTCGTTCAAATATGGATGTCCAAGATTTAAGGCTGTCATTTATGTTCACTTATAAATGTTAAAGAAAACACTAACAGTTCGTATTGGGTACTTATTTTCAAATGCCTGATCTCCAAACGAAACCCATACCCGTTTGTAGTACTATTGTTCATGAGGTCCAATGTGTCTGTTCAGTTTGTTGCAGTTCATATTTAAGTTTGGACAAACGCATGTGCATGTGTTATATTCGAACTGCCATTGGACATGAATGACGCCAATCCATGTATATATGTATATCGAATGAATTCGATGGGGATACTCACCGCTTTTGTACGGCCAACTTAGTGCAGGAAAGCGACACTGGGGCAAACCGAAAATAACATTACCAGGACATGGAAAAGGTGAGACTATGACGAACTAATTTTGCGTTCACGTGTTGCGAATCCAAGGCAAAGTTGATCGGTGCGAATCCCGTGGACTCATCAAGAGGGCAGTTGTCCAGGTGCAGGAGAAGTCACTATTGCACGCGAAATAGAAGCACGATGCGTACGCTCCCATTCGCTTTACTAATCCAGGCCAATAAGGTGGCGTATGTGGTTGGTTTGCCTGCGTTATGAGTATTTTTGTATTTCAGGGATTAGATGTTGATTCAGCTCCCCGGTGTTGCTGACCCTGGTGTGAATGTCCCTGGTGTTGAATGTCCACCTCGATTGCTGGCTCCAGGAGACAGTTGGTCGTTGCTGGAGGGGACAGGATGCACCGTCCTCGTGACGGTGCTAGACTCAAAAAGTGGTTCCATGCAACCCATGTGGAATGGGCTACCGCCCAGCCACCGCCTTATGTACGTCGGGAGTGCATAATTTCCCTCCTAGGCCGGAATGCTTCCGTTCTCTTTCTTGAAGGAGTGTGGGCCGCATCCGGTGATGAAACGTGGCTCCCATCCACATACCTCCCGGTCTTATTCCTTCGGGTTTACACCGGATATGTGTGTGTGTGTGTGTGTGTGTGTGTATGTGTGTAGAACTGTAGGTGGTGCAGCACAGCCACCCCTCGTCTCCTTCGTAGCCACAGGCGTCCTTTGGCTGTCCTCGTGGAGGCCACAGTGACAGGCCAATCCTGTAACCGATTGTTCTGATCATCGCTTGTTCCTTTCGAGCAACAGTTTTCATCAATCGAGGAGACACACTGCTACCTGGCGCCCACCATCACAAACGCAAGAGTGCTCCCAGCTTGACCACATAGCAATCAGCTGCAGATGGCGCGGAAGTGTAACGGACTGCCGATCGTACTGGTCAAATTATTTAGACCAATGACGTATAGGTTCGTGCAAGGTTTGCATGGATTTTTCGGAGGATCAACCAAGCGCGCTCACTACCGACCGGAGGTCGCAAATCTACAAAACCCAACGAGTGTAACCAGATACAAAGCCACACTGTCAACATTGCTTGGCTCAACTGTTGATGGTGACGTCGATTCGCAGTGGGCGCAGATCAAAAATGCCTTAGTTCCCGCCAGTATTGACACTTATGGAGTTGCCGGTCATCCACCGAAGCATTGGATTTCTGTCGTCTTCTTGTCGCTGATGGACAAACGCCGTTTGATCCCGTCGGATTCCAGCCACAATGAAGAACGCCAATCCCTGGGTTGAGAGTTGCGCAGGAGTTTGCAAATGTACCGCGAACCTTGGTGGTGTAAACAGGCTATGGAGATGGAGCCTCCTAGTCTCTCTGGTAATGCCAGAAAACTTTTCCACCCATTTCGAGTCATCGAAGGTGTTCGATCTGGTATAAGTGAAACAATATGCGAAGAGGATGGCACCTTAATCACCAATGGTTTATCGACGGTTGGAGGGATGGGCCGAACATTTTGGCTCACAGTTTTGTTGGCCCCCAGCATCATCTGCTACATCTGGCGCTCGCACGGGGGCCGAGTGGTCTACTCCCACAGATCCTCGCACTTACCAGGAAATCAAGCAGGACCTCCGCCACATGAAGCGTTATAAAGCCCCCGGCCCTGATGGTCTCACTCTAGCTCTATTGAAAGATGCTGGCACTTCGCTGATTCGGGAACTCACTACCTTGTTCTCGAAAGTTTGGTCGAAAGAAGAAGTTCCATCATCTTGGGGCTAATCGATTAAATAAATAAATAAATAAATTGTATATGGCTCGACGATGCGAGAAGCCGTTCCCAGAAGGGACGGATCAAATAATGGTACAGCTGTTTCATATCATGGTATAATAAATTTTAAAAAAAATGTGAGCACAAAATGAAAATTTGTGTAGCGCGAAGCGGTCCAGAATATTTACATTCCTCTCGTTCTATCGTCTGACAAGTTTTTAGCAGTCACATGAGAGTTGATCGCACACGGGAAAAAAAAGAGAATAAAGTGCTGCGGGCCAACAAAATATAACCACTTGTGCACTTGATCACATGCATTTTCAGGCATCATTAACTCCGTTCTCAAAAGCGTTATCTAAGGACTGTGCTGTTCGAAACATTATTATCACATTTTGAACGGTTAAATAATCTTTTATAGAAAGCTTAAACAAACGCAATGTGCAACAAGTTCTGATAGCTCTTGGAAGTTTGTTCCAAAGCTTTGAGCAGTGTGGTAAGAAGAAACGCTCCCTAATTCGCGTATTGAACTTTGGAATCATGACCGTTGTCTCCTTATTTCGTAGCTCGTATCTAGTGTTAACGGCCATATGGACTCAGTTAGCATAATTGTGCATGTGATGGTGAATTATTCTGTACAGGAAACACAAGTTCATCTTCATTATCCGTAGCCAAATTGGGTCAAGTCCAAGTTTTTCACTGCGCTCTCTGTAGGTCATCTTGGAGGAATATCCGCACAGCTTCTTTGTAAAGCGTCGCTGTACCCTCTCAAGAGCATGTTGGTCAGATTTCCGCAGATTCGACTGTATTAGTGAGCAGTATTCCATGCCAGATAACACATATGTTTTATAAAGCCAGATACGAGATTCTGTGAGTTGAAATTTATGACAGATATAGCCAATAGTCTTCATGGCTTTCGAAACTTAGTAGTCACAATGTTCCGGAAAGCTGAAGGTAGTGGAATACCGCACACCCAAGTCGCGAATCACTTTGCACTGTGATATAAACGTGCCTTGTAATAATAGACTATCTGGTGGAACTTCGCATCTGTACAACAGAATATTACATTTGTCCACGGAAAAGGACATCTGCCACAGTTTGCTCCAGGATTCAAGTGCCGATAGATCTTCCTGAATGTGGCACAAGGCTGCGCGGGTATCTGCACGTTCTTGTGAGTAGACGATTTTAATGTCATCAGCAAACAGAAAAGTAGCACCATGTCTTATTCTATGAAATACATCGTTGACGTAAAGGAGAAAAAGAAGTGGACTAAGTGCACTTCCCTGAATTACTCCACTGGTGACTGCTTTCGGTTTAGAGACACGGTCCCCAATACGCACCACCTGATGTCTGTCAGCTAGGTATGACGACAACCAAGAAAACATTGGTTCCCCAATACCTATTTCTTTCAGCTTGAGGAGTAGTCTTCGATGCAGCACTCTGTCGAATGCTTTT